TACTGCTAATGAAATGCCAAGCCAGTGAGGAGCTGAAGCTCCCACCCTCTTTAATTTAGGGGAACCATTAACAGTGCTCTCCATCATCACAATTACTGGGGCCTACTTCCTTCCCTCCCTGCGGTGAAACTTAGAGAGGAACTTGTGCAGCTAACTGCGTATTAGATGGTGTTAAAATTTTTCAGTAGGAAGGAAGAAAGGAAAAAATCCCTTGCATCTTGGCCATCTGGAACTGACGGTGCAGGGATTTATGGGTCTTTCGATTCTCCCCTTTCCTTGTTTTTTGTTTGTAAAACGTTCTTGGGGCAAGAAGGGCCTAACATAAACTGAGCTTTGGTGAAGCTATGCAAAAACGAGCTAAAAATGACAGCTGTGGAGATGATGTGATGTGGCTGGTTTTGACTGACACCTTCTTTCTTGTTTGGCCATGAATAAGCACCTAAGAGTCTGATGGCACCCAGCTGAGGATCAGGGGAATTAGGACCGGTCCATGGGCTACCAGTGTGCCAGGCTCCTGCCACTATTACTCCCCTTCTACAGAGAAGGAAACCGAGGCACAAGGAGGGTAAGTAACTGGCCAGTTACCCAGCTAGAATATGGCCCAGTTGAAACTCAAGGCCCGGCAGCCTGGCTCCAGGGCCTGTTCCCCCATCTGCTATACCCAGGGGATGCCAGGGGTCCTCCCGCCCAGAAGCCTCTCCATTGGGGTTCGTAAATCCCGTACCTAGAAGAAGGAGGATGGCACCTGCACCTCTGGATCTTGGAGGCTTCCCCAGCCCTAGCGAGTTTTGATTGTAATCAAATTAACAGCATAAACAAGATTTATTAGGCCCTTAATTACCTTTGCAACACTGATTTGCATAAGGACAATGTGCTAATCACAAATGGCTTTTTTAACCACTCATTAAAAATCTGGAAGAAGGAGGCAGAAAGACTTCATTGGCTTCAAGTCCAGGTCACTGCAGGGACTTGGAAGGTGTCCTACTTGCCCAGGCGCTGGTCCTGGACCTTGCCAGGCCTCTCTGGCCGCCTTCTCTTGTATAGTATCCTGGACATCTGTGAATATAGACGGCAGCCCCACTGCAGCCAGTGATGAGGACAAAACGCAGTGAGCCTATAGACGTCCACAGACTGAGGATAATTAGTATTCCTCGTCACCACCCTTACCCTCAGAAATGGCTGCGGGGCTACGGCAGCCTGACCCTTTCCTGACATCCTGTTCATGCGGCACCATGTCCCCCACCAGCAGGGAACCACGAGGCCAAGAGGTCAAGGGTCTTGCTGGGAGGCACAGCATTTGTGTGGAAGAACGCAGGCCCTGACTCATAGCCTCATGCCGCAGTACCAAAGCTCTGCAGCCTGCAGCAGACATGATTGTGACACCCGAGCTCTCCAAATATGATAGTCACCAGGGACCCTCTAGGCATCTGCCGTCCCTCGAGGCAGGGCGGGACTGCAAGTACCCAGGCTCCAGGCTCCCTCATCCTCTCCCATTTGTTTGTCCTCAGAGCCTTCAGACAAGGACCCAGAGCCTTCAAACAGCCAGATACCTGCGGGCATTGAATCTCAACCATCCCAGTGCACCCAAGCTCGCCTCCGGTTCAATGTCTCCTTAACGAAAAGGCAAAAGGAGCTTCCTGCCTCCAAGTCATTCAATAAAATTATGGAGGATGACGGACTAAAACAGTTTGCTAATTGTGAAAGCGCTCAGTTTTCTTTTCCATTTTCTTTCCTTCTTGTTTGGGAAATTGCATTGAGGACTTACGAGGTGATGGACCCCATTGCAGTTTCCCTGGAAATGAGGGATTTATCCTTTGTGAAATTCATAAAGGTTGCAAGGAGAGACTGTGTAACTTTCAATTGCCCAACCACAACGTGTCCTCGGAATAGCCTGGGGCTTGGAGAAGGAAGACGGGCTATACAATGGGAAACAGGTGAGCTGTGGATCAGAACCGATGACCCTCTTCCAAAAAGACCCTCCAAATCAGGTTAACAACTAGATACTACCTCGTTGATCCTGAAGGACTAGTTAAACAGCAGAGCCCTGTGCGCTGTTCAATGTCTTCCTCTGCCCTTTACTGGCTGTGTGTTCTGGGGCAAGTCACTTTCCCACTCTGGGCCCAGATTTCCCTCCAGTTCTGCCATTCAAAGTGTAGGATATTGTTTAGCAGGCCCCTCACCTCCCTGTGCTTCCACGAAGAAGCCACGCTCCACGGAACTGACTGGTTAGCCACCAGTACTCAATGAGTCTTCCAGCCCACACGGCTTTCCTTTCTCCCACAGACCACTTAAGGCCCAAAGAGTAAGTGCCAGCCTGGTCTTCAAGCTCTTAGACCACTGGCTTTGCAATCTTGGTCCTTCTGTTAGATTTACAAAGAGCTGAGGCCATGATGGTGGAGGTAGCAGGGCACTGGGTGCTGGCCAGTGGCACTTTGGCCCATAACATTTCTTGGGAAAGCCAGCTTGAATTCATAATATGCACCTACCCCTCCCAGCCCAAGTCCTTCAAGGTCAAGACTCCCATCCTCTGGGCAGCCTCCTGACAGTCAGCCCTGTTCATTTTCCTCCATCTGAACCCCAAAGCCCAGTCTGCCTATCAATGAACTCTAGCCCTGCCCTGCTCTGCCAGATTCCAATGTAGCCCCAATGAGTCTTATTTCCCCAACTAGCTTGAGGCCGCTCCTCGAGCACAGAAATACCTCATCTCTGTTTAACCCTGGGACTGAACAACCTCATGCCTTAGCTCAACTCAGCTGGTAAAGGGTTGGCCGAGATCCAGATTTGTGGCTCTCTGTGACCTAAACAATCACGGTCAAGCAGGTCTGAGGCTGGTCCCTAGTGGGGAGCTGCAGGGTTCTGGCCCTCCATCAGCAACAACTTTACTAAAATAACTTGGAGGAGAGAAGCTTGGGAAGGTCATGACACGTGGGATGATGAGAGGAGGATAATTCTGGAGGGATGGACAGCTGGGCTAGAATTAATAAGGTAAAGCTTCCCGAGGGCAACTGCGAGATATGCTGCTTAAGTGAAATGCGGCTGCAGCCTGTACTCAGGGGCTTGCTTCAGATGAAGACAAACTGTGGCTTTTAGCAAAGGGTACACAGAGGGAGGTGGAGGCAGGTTTTGTCTCTCTAGAGCAGCGGTCCTTAACCAAAGGTAAGACTCCCCTCAAATGTGGGAGGGTACTTTTGTTGTGATAATGCTTAGGGGAAGAGGCAGTCATCAGAACAATGGAGTGGGATTAACCAAGGGTGGGCATTAAAAAAAAAAAAACAAGGAACAGAGTGGGTAGGGACCAAGATGCTAAATGCCCTGCAAAGTCCTGCACGCTGAAAAATTACCCTGTGTCAGACAGGTGCAGTGGTGCATGCCTGTAATCACAGCACGTTGGGAGGCCAAGGTGGTAGGAATGTTTGAGCCCAGGAGTTCGAAACCAGCCTGGGCAACATAGCAAGACCCTATCTCCACAAAACTAAAAAGAAATAGCCAGGTGTAGTGGCACGTGGCTATGCTTCCAGCTACTCAGGATACTGAGGTGGGAAGATCGCTTGAGCCAAGGAGGTCGAAGCTGCAGTGAGCTATGACGGTGCCACTGCATTCCAGCCTGTCCAACAGGGTGAGACCCTGTCTGTTAAAAATAATAATAGGCCGGCATGGTAGCTCATGCCTATAATCCCAGCACTTTGGGAGGCTGAGGCAGGCAGACTGCTTGAGCTTAGGAGTTGGAGACCAGCCTGGGCAATGCTGTCTCTACTAAAAATACAAAAAATTAGCCATGGGTGGTGGTGAATGGCTGGGGTCCTAGCTACTTGGAAGGCTGAGGTGGGAGGATCACTTGAGCCTGGGGGCGGAGGTTGCAGTGAGCCGGGATTGCATGGCTGCACTATAGCCTGGGCGACAGAACCAGATCTTGTCTAAAAAAAAAATAATAATAATAAAAGAAAAATTACCCTGTGTAAATGCACTAAGGAACACTGCTACAGAAGAGAAGCTTGGAGCTGCTCAGCAGCCAGACCCAGGGTCTGAGGAGGCAGTGCCCTTGGGTGGTGGCGGGCTTGCTATGGTACAAAGGGCTTATGACCAAGGCAGGCAACCACATGTCAGGGGCAATCAGGCCCAGGGAGGGCACTGGACATGATGAGCACTAAGGTCCTTTCCAGCTCAAAAAGTCAACAAGCCTCTAATTCGATTTATAAAGCGTGGCTGACACCCAAGCTCCCAGCAGCGCCTCGATGGTGCGACCCAGGTCTGCCTGCAGTGTGCTCTGGGCTGCAGGTCCCTCAGTCAGGCTGGATAATGAGAGCCGAGCTCTGACTGCAAATGCCCCTCCTGATCATTAGCGGGGACACACACAGGGGAGAGGAGACAGCATGACAGGCCCTGTTGTTGCAGGGTCAGCCTGCAGAGTGCTCAGAGAGCATCCCCAGCTCAGCAAGGGACTCGAAAGATAATTAACTGGGGGAATCGCCAGTCCTAGCCACGTCTCCTTCTGAGGCTGGCACAGGTAGACTGGACAATCCCTTGGTGCTGTCAGCCCCCAGCAAACCCATGCCTGCCTGTGACCCTGGGCTTCTGGTGGACCCAGCCCAGTCTTGGCTTCAGGGTGGCTGGCCTGGGCTGGCTCTGTCCCCATCTTGGCTGGAATCACCAGCCCCGTGGCCTTCCTGAGACCCCTGCCAGCCCCTGGTTTCTCTGGGGTTGCCCAATACCCTGGTCAAGAAAGAGGGAAGGTGCTGAGCTCAGAATTTCTAACCTTCTGCCGGAAGCCTAGAACCAGAAGAAAAACAGCCTCCACCAAAGTGACAAACTCAGTGCTCTCAACGTGTTTGAGAGGGAGAAACAGGGCTCACCCATGAAGATGTGAAAAAACAACTGCACCTTAGAAAATGCAACATTTTCAAGGCTGCACAGAGGCCCCCACCCCAGGGACACGTCCAAGGAGATCTGAGACCAGAGGAGTGTCTGCTCAGCGCCTGCCCCCATGGCACCCACTCACTTACCTGTGTGACAGAGTGGGTTTCATGGAGCTCATGGAGCTGAGGGGGGGCTGCATGGGGAGTTTCCCAGGGGGATCACTCTGGCGGCTCTTCTGATGTCGGAGCAGCAGCAGGCGGCCAAGCTCTTCGCACCAGGAGGACAACAGGGCTGCAGGAAGGACAGGATGGTCAGTGGCTGCTTGTTCATTACGCCCTGCCACACCGAGACCCCTCCCCAACCCTCCCCAGACTGGGTGCTATCCATGCTGGTTTTGCTCCCAGATTCGTGTGACACCAGAAGACTTAGCCTTCTTTGGAGGCCTCAGTGGTCTCAACTGTAGAATGGGACTGACACCCTTGAAGGAGAATACAAAAGCTTCTGTCGTGAAGAGAAGGTCAGAATGACCCATGTGCGGGAAGTAGTGGTCCGAGGCAGCAAAGACGGGGAGAGTCAGAATGATGGGAAGGATGGCAGAGATGGTGCCAAGAGGAAACTGGAGGAGTGAGGGGGCCTGACATGGACCTTGAGACAGCGCAAGCTTAGCAGCTGCCTGCCACCCCAGATCCCTCAGGGAAGCCCACCCCCTCACAATTTGATCAGAGGCAAAGTGTGGCTTCTCCCCATGTGTGGGCTCAAAAATCACAAGGTTTGAACAAAATCTTAGAATCTGCTGATAACCTAGGAGTGTCTGCAGAGCTGTCCCTGGAAGTCCTGCCCAGAAACTGGCCCCCTAGGACACCCCTTCTGGTCACACCCACGGTTGGTCCCTGCTCTACCGGACACAAACGCCTAGGAAGACAAAGGATGTCCAGAGCAGAGGGTAGCCGGGGTGGTGGGGGGCCAAGCAGGAGGCAGCCAGGGGTGCCCAAGGCAGGAGAATGGAGCAGCCATCCACATCCGGGATGAGAGAGCCCCCACATGAACTGGGGACTGGGGAAAACTGCCATTTTCTTTCACTGTTCACTGTCCCCATGTGACCACAGGAGCTAAAAGCGCCCCCTAGGCCAGCATGTCTCAGCCTGGGCTGTCCAGCGTGTCTCAGCTGGCCTGTCCTCCTGAAATACATGACGAAGCTGAGGGCTGGGGGAACTGGCTGCGCTCAGTCACCAACTTGCTGTGGTGTGGACTCCAGGAGCCCACAGACTCTGGGCCTCAGCTTGCTTAGAGGTAAAAAGGAGTAATGCCTCGTGCCCTGCCTTCCTCCCAGGCTGCAGGGAGGGACAGATGGGGGCCTGCTGGGTCTGTGGAACTGCTGGACAAAGGGTGGCCACACCTCAGCTGATGCCCTACTCCTGCTGGGAGTGACCTGAGCGTTACGGAAGTAGTCGATGGGCAAGAGTGACCAGGCATCTTTTGAATCACAACTGCTCAGCCACTCGGCTGGGTGCAAAGCCGACTCCACATTTCAAGGGTCTCCCATCTGGACGCTGCACAATGTGCTTCTGCATCCTTTTTTTTCTCGACCATCTAGGACATCATTAGCTATTATTATCCTCATTCTACAGACGAGTAGACGGGGGCCCAGTCAAGCAAAGCTACTCACAGTAACCACGGCCAGAGTCGGCAGGGACAGAGACAGTGCTCCTGCCCCTAGCCCCACACCCTGGTGGTAGAGCCTGAGACCAGACCAGAAGGTGGGAAGGAGGTGAAAGCCTTCAGAAGGCAAAATCCTAGGTGTTCACAGCCCCCCAGCCCCTCAGACTCAAGGAACCCCTCAGGCCTGTTCTACGCCACCATGTTGGGCAGGCACTGGTGGAAGACGCCCATATGCACAATGACTGGGAATGGCTGGGTAGGCTGCCATCCCAAGCCGCCCAGATCCTGGACAGGGTTCCCGTCAGCCCAAAGCCCTGAAAAGTCACCAGGGCCGCTTGCTCCATCTGCTCGGCTTGTGTGGTACACAAAGATGCCCAACCAAGAAGGCAAGCAGGGGCCGTGGTCCCCAAGAGGGCCCCTGTTTCTCCCTCCAGGAGGGGGCCTGGTGGATGAGCTAAGTCTTAAAACATGTATCCTGCCCCACTGTGGGGTCACCTATGCCAGCACCCTCAAAGGAGGGCAGTATGAGAGAAGAGACACTCTCCCCAGCATGTGTGTCTGCCCAGAAACCAACAAACACCCCTATGTGGGTGTCCAGCACACATCTGCTGCAGCTGGAGAGGCAGCCTATTCAAGGAGGCCAGGACAGACAAAAACGAGCCTCCAGCCCACTCCATCCTTCTCCCAGGCCCCTAGGTACCGCCTCTCGTGCGGGGACACTGGGCATCTGGAAACTCATTTGCACGCCAAGCACGAGGCCCGCTGGATCGCAGTGAAGGAGGGATCGCTCCACTGCCAGCACAAAGGACGGCCACAGATGGTGCCGCCTGCTGCCCGCCCCACCCCTCCTAGCCCTCGCTCCTCCTGGGGGCTGGACTGCCATGCAGGGGGCGGAGGCACCACGGGGGAATCGGGGCTTTCCTCCAATGTCATGGACCACCCCCTGCTCGGCCAAGGACAGCCCTTGTCCTCCTGCCCCTAGTGGAGTGGTTTCCGTAAAGGGAATAAAGGCAGGTTGGCTGTGTGACAGGGCCTTGCTGTACAGTCTGGCATGCTGCAAACAGGCGTGATATGTGGATCAGCCAGCCACAAAGGCCACTTTCCTACAACCAAGAGGTGGTGGGGGGACGGGGAGTCACCACCCCTCACCCCTGAGGTGGGTGAGCACAGAGGCCACGCTGGCAGCCCCATGCGGGGCGGTGAATGTTGTGCGTGTTCTCCTTATGGTGCAAACCAACACAAGTTGTTCCGAGGCAAACGTGGGTTAATGACAACGCCTGGGAATTCGCAGCCAAAAAGGGAGTCTGGGCACTATCAAGAGAACCAGGAGGGCTGACGGGGACAGACAGAGGCAGGCAGGGGATTACGCAAGGACAGACAGAGTGACACCAGCTGGGCGGGTGTCTGAGTGTGCCTGGATTTTGGCCGTCACTCACACGTCTGAACTGGGAAGCCTGTCTGCTCTAATTAGGCGGGGCTGGCCTGCATGCCTCTTTGACCTGCATGCCTTTGGTCTGTGTACTTGCTAGGATGGCGAAAACAGTCCCAGGGTGAGTGGGAGAGACGGGAGGACCTGGTGTGGTGTGCGCAGAGCATACCAGGCAATGGGAGGGCAGTTTCAGTCCTGACCTGAGTCCCTCTCTGCTGCAGGCAGGGTCGAGTACCTTCTACTGCCTGAGCCACCAACATGGCCAGTCTGTCCCTTTGTCCTGTGGGCCCCACATACCACTGGTAAGAGAGCTGGCCCCAAATGCCCCTTTTCATACAGAGGACCCCAGTTTTCAAATTAAAATGGCAGCTAGGACCCAATGTCCCTTTCCCCCTTCATAAAATGCAGCTTGCTTGGGCCCAGGACAGCCTTGGCCAGTACATGTGACTACCTCTCTCCCACAGATGGGTGACGACTGGCCTCCTGCCTGGTGCTCCCACGGTGGGAGGCCCATGTACACATCACGTGCACAGCTGTCAATGAATGCCATTAGACCCACGGCCACCCTCCAAGGGGCTAAGCAATTGGCAGTGAGATACTCCAAAGCCTGCCAAGGGGCGTGAAGAGGAATTTTAGCTCCACCGTGCAAACTTTCTGGGCCGCTTCCAATCTGGGGTGTCAACATGGAGAGGCCTTCTGCCTGTCAGAAACCAAGAAGCAGGGGCTGGGCATGATGGCTCACACCTGTAATCACAGCACTTTGGGAGGCTGAGGCGGGCAGATCACTTGAGGTCAGGAGTTCGAGACTAACCTGGCCAATATAATGAAACGCTGTCTCTACTAAAAATACAAAAATTAGCCAGGCATGGTAGCCAGCACCTCTAATCTCAGCTACTCGGGAGGCTGAGCACAAGAATTGCTTGAACTCGGGAGGTGGAGGCTGCAGTGATCTGAGATCGTGTCACTGCCCTCCAGCCTGGGCAACAGAGCAAGACTCCATTCCCCTCCAAAAAAGAAAGAAAGAAAGTGAAAAGAAACCAAGAAGCAGGAGGGGCTGTTGGGAGCAGAGGTTCAGCCATAGAAAGGGGGTTGGGGTCAGGAGGGGGCCTGCGGAGCTGGCCACAGAGGCCCATGGGACTACCCACTGTCAGTCATGCTGACAGCATGGCTATGGCAGTGCCCATTGCCCCCTCTCCTCCAGCAAGATCTCTGATGGGTAACAGCCTTTCTTGGGGAAGGAGAAATAGAGGCACAACCGGCTGCAAATGTACTGCTTCTGACCCCTAAACAAATCCCCTCTCCCCCATCACCCAAGGCAGCAGAGTTTTAACAAGCAGGTGCTGAGCCCAGAAACTGGGCTCTCAGGCTCCTCACCAAGCCCCATCCCCTGTCGTCCTCTCCAGCCTGTGCAGGGGCCAGTGCCGAGGACCTTGGGGACTTCCAGCTCATCTCATGGTGACCACAGCTGGGGTTGGGATAGCAGCAGGGAATCCCCCCAGCTGCCAACGCTGAGCCTTAATCCAGAATTCCAAGCACTCCTCAAACGTCTCAGCGTAAAACGTATAAGCATGCACCACCCAACCTGTCTAAAGTGAACCCACTGGGCTCCCCTCACCTCTCCAAACTGCATCCTTGTGACCAGACTCCCTCACCTCGATCCATTCTCACCTTCAGTACCAAAGTGTTCTATCACTCACCCAACGTTCATTCAACACCAGCTGCTGAGCACCTACTGTGTGCTGGCGGTACTGCGGTGAACAGGCGACGTTAGCACCCCTGCTGAAACCGCACATGGCCTCCACTGCTGAGTCCGAACCACTTAAGATGACGTGCAAAGCTCTGCAGGCTGGAAGTCTTGGCACCCATCGCTCCTGACCTCAGCAGGCAGCTACCACCCTGTGGTTCAGGGCAAGGGACTCTAAAAGTCTGGATTCAAAAACTCATTCTCTTCATAGCTATGTGACCTTGGGCAAATGACACAACCTCTCTGGGCTTCAGTTTATCTACCAAATGTTAATGCTTACTCTTTAGGGTTATTGTGCTTTTTTTTTTTTTTTTTTTTTTTTTTTTTGAGGCAGTCTTGTTCTGTCACCTAGGCTAGAGTACAGTGGTGCAATCTTGGCTCACTGCAACATCTGCCTCCTGGATTCAAGAGATTCTTATGCCTCAGCATCCCGAGTAGCTGGGACCACAGTTGTGCACC